TATCTATAATGTTGTGCTTTAATTTTAATAGCTTTTCGACCGACTTCGTAATGAAAAGCCCGATTTTATGAAAAATATTAAAGTAATTGATGGAAATATCGAAGAAGAATTGTTGGGTTTATCGATGTCAGACCGTAACTGGATTTTTGAAAATGTGAATTTTGTTTTTCATTGTGCAGCAACAATCAAATTCAACGAAGCGCTCGAGTTGGCGACTAAAATAAACATCCAAGGGACGGATAACCTTTTGACATTAGCTGCGCAGATGAAAAATCTTAAGGTACAAATTTATAGTTTGCATCGATTCTGCTATGCCGACAAACTGCGGAGTCGCTTTGCGAAAATCATAATTGTATAATAATATTTATTATTTTATTGTAATACACTTATTCGTGTGTACAAAACTGGTTTATTTTTCGACTAAAAATATGAAAATATTATTGTATACGCAATAAACGYAATAAACTCAACTTCATATTTATCATTACGCAGGGTTTTGTGCACGTTTCAACCGCATATTCGCACTGTCCCAGGAATGAGATCAGAGAACAATATTATCGGACTCCGGTTACGGCCAAGGAGCTAAAAAATATGCTGGGGACAGACGATCTGTCCGAATCTAAGTAAATATTTAATAAGCCATATAACGCCGTTGATATTTGTTTTCCATACAATAATAATTTACACTTAAATAAATAGAATTTTAGAAGATTGGCCAAACACGTACACTCTTACAAAAGCAATCACGGAAGACTTGATATCAACAAACGAAAACCACTTGCCTGTTTCCATTTTTCGTCCATCGATTAGTAAGTGTTTATTTATATGATATAATATAATATATATTCAATTAATTAATTAATCTTTAAGCATCATATATAATACGATATATTTCTTCGATCTATCATCTATTTTGTCAATAGTAATAATAATAATATGTAGAATACTAGAATGCAGGTACGAATGTCTCGTATATTATTTGAAAGTTGTCGAATATAATATTACAATAATTATCTGCAGGCGGATTTATAACAGTAATTACATACCCACGTTAAATATTCAATGTCAAGTTCTAAAAGAGGCTAACTCTAATACTCGTTACTCATAACTAGGGAACGGATTTTAATTTTGATAAATATTTTTATGTAGTAATAGCATCGGAAAGTTTTCGATATATGTATAGTTTCATTTAATTTCAAGTAATCTGATGCTAATTTTATTTTAAATATTTTAGAATAATTAAATTTTTTATAAATAAATACATAAATTATGTAATATTGTAGAATTTTTAACTATTTTACAAATAAATATACGAATTCTGTATTTAAATGTATTATTGAAGAATTTCCGTTTTTATTTTAGTATTTTACGATACGATATGCGACACGATTAGGTTAACGGTTTCTCAAAAACACTTTGGTTCCGTTTACAAATTCTGGAGTCACAGTCACTTAAAACCTGTACGAATTGCCTATAGATATAATATATTGTTGAATAATCGAAAAAAAGTCAATTCGTGTAGTTTCTGAACTGCGTGTGTCGTGTATATTAAATTTCATCAATTATAATTTACAATACATCTTTTCCACGGCGCCACACAAAATTTGCTTTTAAATACGATAAAAATGAAGATAAYCACTTAAAGTTTAAACATAAGTCTGAATTTAGACTATCGCATAAATGTGATAAGCTGCAAAAGGTTATAACTTTGAAACTAAGAGTCTGATCGAAAAATTCTGACACCACCAAATTTACTCACTCATAATTTGTCAATATTAATATAGGTATAATAGCAAATAATTAAAACCTTGGTATAATAATGTTAATACATCGGTATACTTTGAGTCTTTAGGCATATTAATACATTTTATAGCACAGGTATGGAAAATCCTTGGCACCTGTACAATTAAAATACTTAATAATGTTGGAGTTAATGATGGGTTTGAATTTTTCACCAAATAAACTATAAAGACTTAAACATATGTTTTTACAAATAATATGTCACATAATATGTATAGTACCTATATAGCATATTATATTATATTTTAAATAATAGTYTCCCCGAATTGGACATTTCTGTATGCCAGGTACCTACTCCATAACCTGCGTTTACGCCTCTAAATAAACTATGAATAATAATTAATAACTCAATAAACCATTATGGTACCTATATATAATATTATACTCATATAGTATTGTGTATAAATATTTAATACTTTAGAATTTATTTTTTAAATTTTATAGTTGGATGCACGAAATCTGAACCGGAACCAGGATGGTTAGAAAACATGAACGGGCCAACAGGAATATTAACCGGTGTCATGGTAGGATTTTTGAGAACGCTCCAAATTTCCACGGACAAAGTAACTGATATAATCCCAGCGGATTATACTGCAAACGCACTGATCAGTGTTATGTGGGATAC